AATAACCTTTCAATTGGTAATAAAATGTTTATTTAACAATATGTATATAAATTTTCAACTTGTGATGAGTGAATCTAATATAGAAAACAACACAATAAATCATATCATTAGCAATTATTTAATATGAAAGGCAGTAGTCACCAATGCAATAATTCTGTATGTTTTTTCTTTAATAGATAGAAAATGAAAGCTTTGATCTTATAAGTTTATAATCGAAAAATGACAAATCAATCATATTATAAAAATCTATAATAATCTTCATGATTGGGACATCAAATCATTTTATTATATTTTATTGAATAATATATAGTACTACTCCTCCGTCTAATAATCTTCATCATATTACTTGATCACTAACTAAAAATATCTGTTTCATATTACTTGATCACTTACTAATTAAATTAAGATATAACTATTATTTTTTCTCATTTTACCCTATAATAAATATGGTCTTGGAAGTTTAAACAAAACTTGAAAATTTAAAAAAAAAAGGAATAATTACTAGAATATACACCTTTAGTTTATATATTCACCATATTTCCCTACTATTTTTAAAAAATACAAAAATCCCTATTTCTCCCCAAATCAAAAACTACCGATACATTATTTTTTAGAATTCCAAACCATACATTTCACCCCTAAATTTACTCCTCTATTTACTTCACAATCTTATCCTTCAATAACCAAACCCAATTTTCACTCCTAAATTTTCTCCGCCATATTTTCAACCGTTCCATCTTCTTAATTTTGAATTTCAAACTTGTTCTCTCTCTCCCATATTCTCCTCAACCAATTTCAAAGTTCGAAATAGATAAATTTTCATCTTCAAATTTTTTTCTTTCTTTTTTTCTTTCTAATACTTCATGGATCATCCGTCATTTAGTATTGCGATTACCCAAATAGTTACATTAAACACTAATTAAATCTCTATTTGTGAAGAATCTAAAGTGCAGAAAACGAGTCTAAGAGCTTGCAATAATCTTCTAAAGTTTCAAGAAATTTAAAAAAAAAACA